GCAGTGTTATACCACCAGTAGGCACACCAGGGGTGTAGGGATGTAGGTCGAGGAGCAGTGTTATACCAGCCATGGGCACACCAGGGGCACAGGGACGCAGGCGGAGGAGCAGTTTTATGCCAGCCCTGGGCACACCAGGGGTGTTGGGATGCAGGCAGAGAAGCAGTGTTATACCAGCGGTGTGCACACCAGGGGTGTAGGGACGCAGCGAAGATGGCACCTTAACATATGTGTTTGCAATCACTGTGTTCCTTCGTGCACTCTGGAATTACTGTGCATTCCAGGGATGCTAGCGCTCCTCCTGCAGTGCCCTGGCCACTTGCCAGCCTCTGCCAAGGATCACTGTGTTGATGACTATCTGTACTGGACATCCCAGCCATGGGATCTTTGTCAGCTCATGCAAGTATCTGAGCCCTGGCTGCCATGTTCCAGAGTCACTGCACCTGGGAGCCAGGTTGCCCCTCTGGCCCACACAGTTTGTCAGTACTCAGGGTCTTGCAGGTTTGTTTCCATTAGGAGGAGAAATGGATACTTCGAGTCGGGGATATTCTAGGTATAATCCTGTTCAGCTGCAAAGTATGCAAGCAGAGTCCTGTTCCACTGAGTGCAGCAGGAACAAAGAGCAGCAGGCAGTGTTCTTGCTCAGAAATCCCCCAGGCCTGCCCTCCAGGGAGGTGCTCTGTGCCCAAAGAGCTGTGTCTCTGCTTCTACCAGGGCCATGCTCTTGACTGCTTGTCTTGCTGTCTGTGGCTTTTCCTTCTCTTACACACAGCTTGCCATGCCATCCCCTAGCCCATGTGTTTGCAGCCAGCCCTGGGTTGCCCTCAGACCACACAGTTTAACTCTGCCATGTGGCTGAGTGCCTTGGGCAGTGGCTTCTATTGTATTTGTCTCTCTCCATAAAGGGGCTTAATTGCTCCCTCCCTTTAGACTGTGTGCGCTAGAGGGGAGGGGTTTGGCTAAGCAGAGACTCATGGAGTGCTCCCCAAAGGGAAACTCCTTCCAGTGGAGGTGTGTGTGAGCTCTTGCCTCTCTACCCTCAGTTCCTGCAGTGTCTGTCCGAGCTTCAGCAGCAAATCCATCGAAAGCTCAAGGATCTGGGCCGTGGGCAGGACTCAGACGGTGCCTGGAGCGACATCTCCCTGTCAGACATTGAGTCCAGGTACGGCCGCCCTGTCACCCTCCTAGGAGCACCCTCCTGAGCTCTGCCGCCCCAGGGACACCTGGTCCATGGCTGGCCAGGCCCATCTCCAGAGGAGCCTCGGAGGGAGGAGGGTGGGCTGTGCCTGACTGGGTGAAGGCTGGCTGGCCCAATGAAACCCTCTCAGCACCTGGCCCCCCACCTCTCTGAGCCCAGAGATCCCAGAGCTGTGGGGCTGTGCTCCTGGCCCGCCTCGGGGAACCCCCAAGCGACAGCTGCCCCCAGCTCATTCTGTCCCTAAAGCCCCCGGGCCTTGGCTGCGCCCAGCACTCGGGACCTGCCAGGCAGCATGAATTCAGCAGGAGCCTCCTGGCTCACGGCAGGGAGGAGATTTCTGCTAGCAGGGGGCTCTGAATGCCGCAGACGCTGGCAAAGCGAGATCCAGCGGCTGGGAGCTGAAGTGACAAGTCCAGAGGAGAGAGACGGGCCCCTGTTCAGCAGGGAGGGGACTGACCATCGGAACAGCTGGCCTGGGCCGGGGCGAGTCTCCACCACTTGGCGTCCGTAAATCCAGACTGGATTGGGGTGGCTGGGGGCTCAGCTCAGGGCTCTGGGCTGGCTGCAGGGCTGGCTGGGGGGTGGGGGCTGTCTCTTTTGCAGGGTGGTCCGAATGGGCTCTTGTGACCTTGGCAGCCAGGAATCTATGCAAACAGCTAAGGGGCTCTCTCTGCCTGGCGCAGCACCAGCGGCTCCAACAGCTCCCAGTCCGACGGCCTCCCTGCTCATTTACTCAGCGTGGCAGAGAAGGTGAGAGCCACGCGGCTGAGGGAGGGATGTAACTATGGGCAGCGCCCAGGGGGCAATGTGAATGTCTGACCCCGGGCCCGGGGCTCGTAGACCCCTGGCTGACGCCCCATGCCCAGGCCCCGGAAGTGAGGGTGGCCATTCTCCTGCCAGCGTCCGGCTCCTCAGCTGCCCACCTGCCATTCCAGGAGGGGGCTGCTTAGGGGCGGTGTGACGGCTGGAGGCAGATGGGGTGACGCTCTCTCATGGGAGGGGGCCAGGAGCACGTGGGGTGTGAATGACTGGAAATGGCGGGGCAGCGTAGTCTGGCCGGGCTCCCTGATTCACCGGCGACCCGGGCTGCCCGACTCACCCTTCACCCTCCACAGCGAGAGCTTTGGGAGTTAGGAAACCGGCTGCAGCGGCCCAGGGATGAGCTGGTCCCAGCTGGTGCCTCACTGGGAGCAGCACGGGGAGGGCTGGGGCTGGGTCCGTCAGGGCTGGGGTCTGCTGCGGTTGGCGAATGCTGGAGGGGTGGGTGTTGCTGAAGCACCGGCGGCGAGCTGGGCGCCCCAGGGCCAGGCCTCCTGCAGACGCGGGTAGCGGGATGGGCCGGATGGGGCCAGCTTTGCAGGTGACGTGTTACCGTGCCTTGGCCTCGGCGTGGGTTTCTTTGGCTCGATTGAGGGCGGTGGGGAACGGTGTGTTTCCTGGGGAGCAGGGCTGTCCCCTGGCGGAGCTGTGCTGAGCGCGGGGTCCTTGCTCACCTCACCAGTTCCAGCAGAAGAAGAAGCGGCTGCGGACGAGGAAGGAGAGGAACGAGCTGCGTCAGAAATACGCCTCGAGCCAGGGGCTGACGTGCCAAGACAAGACCCCGGTAAGGAACACGCCAGACGGGGCGCACCACGGAGCTGCCTCCTCCCTGGGACAGCGAGGCAGGGGCCTGCAAAGGGCTCCCAATGGACGAGTCCTCCATGGCAGCGGCTGGCACGACGGGCCGGCCTTGGCTGGCTCTCCGGCTGGTTGAAGGGTGTTGTGGGAGCATTTCTGCATGTGCCCCTGTTCAGCTTCCTGCCCTGCGGGGAGGGAGGAGCAGCCTACAGGGAGACCGAGGCCTTGTCCACATATGCACATCGCAGAGCGACTCACGCCCTGGCCACGTTGGTGGGCTCCATGCCCTGGGGCTCTCCCAGTGCGTGTGGTTCCTCCCTTGGCGAAGTGCCCTGGCTAGTGCTCGCTCTCCCAGCGGCTGGCAGAGGGGCCGTGGGAGGAGAGGGTTGCTTTGCTTGCTTTCGGAAACGCCCCTCTGGGTCTCCTCGCAGGTGGCGGGGGAGAGAAGGTTGGGGAGCCCCACCTGCCGGACCCACCAGCCTGTCAGCGCGGCGGCTCTGTGCACGGAGGACAGCTCTGGCAAACAGGTGCAGTGCAGTTCCCCTCTCCCCCCACTCACAGCCACAGCTCCACTGCTAACAGCACCATCTGCTTGGCCCCACTGCATAGCCAGGGCCAGAGGGTGCCACTGGCGCTGGGCTCCCGGGGACTGCAATGGGGTCTGCTCCTGCGACACCAAGGAAGGGGGCTGGAGAGCGTCTGTCTCCCTGACCCCTGGCAGAGGCTGGAGTCTGAAAGGGCTTCGGGTTCGAGACATTGTAACACTCACTCAGAGCAGGGCTCACCCCAGCAGCGGGGGCAGCAGGGACGGACACACACAAGTGGGGCTCTTCCCTGGCAGCAGGGACAGGGACACACACACACACACACACAGAACAGGGCTCACTCCCTCCAGCAGGGGGCAGCAGAAGGCTCATCCATGCCAGCAGGGGGAAGCAGACACACACACAAACACTGAAAAAACACGAACACTCTCTTAATTAGTCTCCGCTGCCCGCCACCCCACGCACCCAGATCTGGTGCAGGGCGGTTCAATTTTTGCTTCTTCTTCTTTTAACGTCCCTTCGCCAACTGCCTCTGCCCTGCCTGGCTGAGAGCCGGGCATCCGCTGCCATAACCCCGACTCCTCCACGCAAACCGCTTGTTTCTCTCAATCCCGTTAGGTCTGCTCTGGGGCCCAAGCTGTCCCGGATGTTCGTACAGCTCCCAGCACGGTGAGGGCTGAGGCCTCCAGCCGCGGCTGAGGTAGCAAGGTTTGACCCCAGTGCCAGAGGCCATGGTGAATGAGGAGGGCGCGGAGGAAGAGCAGCTCCTTCCCAGCTGCTGTCACCGCTGGGTCCCCCCACCGCAGGGCGGAGGGAGGAGTATGTGCCCCTCCCCAGCACGACAGGTCTCCTGTGCGTAGCTACAGGGCTGGAGCAGACCTGCGGCACTGCAGATCAGGGTGCTACTGAAGGAGAATCACTACTATAGAATCGGTGTGTTCCAGCTCATACCGCACAGGAAAGTGCACGGGGATCGGGCGGGAGGCCCAGGGCAAGGGCCAGCTTACCTGCTAGATTCTCATGGCAGATGTGGATTTTACACTGGCCAGAAAGCAGCTGTCAGAGCATCCCGTTCTTGCTAGAAAATGGGGCTGGACTTTCAGAAGAGCTGCACGCTCTGGTGTGTGCCGGCCCTGAGGTCTCTGGAAACCTGGCCATCTGCGTTGCGTGGGAGAGGCAGAGCCCTTCCAGGTGTGGTCCAAGGGGCTTCACTACAAGCAGTGACACAGCTGCCATGTGCACAGGCCTGTGCCTCCTCTCCCGAGCCGGAGCCGTGGCAGGAGGTGTGGAGACAGGCTGACGGTCTCCATGTTTCCCCACACAGGGCAAGACTCCAGAAGCTGGCCTCGTTTCAGATCTGCAGAGGAGAGAACCTAACGCCAGCCAGGAGGAGCAACCAGGTCTGGGTGCAAAGTGGTCTTGGCACACGTCGCATGGTAGAAAGGGTGTGTGTACACGTGGGTGTGCGTAATTAGGGAGTAACAGGAACTGGTCCATAATTAAAGCTGCTACCAAGTTTCCATTATAAACTTAGTTTTGTCACCCCACCTAAAACCCACAAACCAAAGAAATTGCAGGCTCAGAATTGGGAGGCTAGTTCTGGGGCAGAGGTCGAATTTCTCTGCCACATTGGAAGTGAATTGCCCAACCTGCTCCTTAGCTATAAATGCTCCAAAATAGCGTTCTCCACAGCCCCAAAATGCTTCAAACGCTGGTTTGCCCTCCATAGCAATCAAGCCCTGAGAGCAGGAGGAAGATAAAATGTAGCTCCCTTGCCCGGGCTGAGATGCAGTGCGCATCTTCCGTCCAGTCCCCTGATCCAACTCCCATTGGCTTGGAGGGCACCAGATGCCTGCTGGAGACCTTAAGGGCCCAGGGTATGTCTACACTATGGAGACTATATTGGCATAGCCCCCGTGTGTAGATGCAGCCTACGCCAATGGAAGGGGTTTTCCAGTCGCTGTAGGAACTCCAGTTCTTCTTTGAGTGCTTGCTCATGTCAATTCCAATAAGGTGTGTGCGCGCCACATGCACAGTCATCGGAAAGTTTTCCCTTAGCAGCTCCCATTGGGTTGGCTGTGGGGCCCCCTGGAGTGGTACCTTCATGGCACTCAATAAATGACCCACAAATATATTTGTGGACAAATTGGAGAGAGTCCAGCGGAGGGCAACAAAAATGATTAGGGGGCTGGGGCACATGACTTATGGGGAGAGGCTGAGGGAACTGGGGTTATTTAGTCTGCAGAAGAGAAGAGTGTGGGGGGATTTGATAGCAGCATTCAACTACCTGAAGGGGGGTTCCAAAGAGGATGGAGCTAGGCTGTTCTCAGTGGTGGCAGATGACAGAACAGGAAGCAATGGTCTCAAGTTGCAGTAGGGGAGGTTTAGGTTGGATATTAGGAAACACTATTTCACTAGGAGGGTGGTGAAGCACTGGAATGGGTTCCCTAGGGAGGTGGTGGAATCTCCATCCTTAGAGGTTTTTAAGGCCAGGCTTGACAAAGCCCTGGCTGGGATGATTTAGTTGGGGTTGGTCCTGCTTGGAGCAGGGGGTTGGACTAGATGACCTCCTGAGGTCCCTTCCAACCCTGATATTCTATGATTCTATGACCCGCCGACCTGGCCCCTCCTCAGTTCGTTCTTATCGCCAGTGATGGTCGTTGGAACTGTAGTCGCTTGGTTAGCAAGTAGGGTGACCAGATGTCCCGATTTTATAGGGACAGTCCCGATTTTGGGGTCTTTTTCTTATATAGGCTCCTATTACCCCCCACCCCCATCCCGATTTTTCACACTTGCTGTCTGGTCACCCTATTAGCAAGTGCTTCCCTTAGCGTTCTTTCATATAGTGAGCTTAGCCTTGTTTAGTTGTAGTTAGTCTTAGTTGTTAGTGTATCTATTGTATATAGTGAGGTTTGGGAGCGTGGTTTCCTCAGGCTCTGGGGCATGCCACGAGCCCACAGCTTTAAACCCTGTGGAACCTGCAGCAAGCCTATGCCAACGAGCGACCCCCTCGACTCGTGTCTGGGGGAGATGCACCAGACAGAAAGGTGCAAGATGTGCAGGGCTTTCCGCCCCAGAACTAAAAACGAGCGAGATTTCTGATTGAAGCAGTTGCTCATGGACTCCGCCCTTCATCCCCAGTCTGCTGCGGATCGCCAGGACCCTGCACCGAGCACGTCCGCAGGGAGTGCCCCGGCATCGGTACATGGCATGGTGCTGAGGAAGGACTCTAGTCTAAGAGACCCTCGGCACCGGCACTCTCCGGCACCGCAGGATGCACAGACAACCCGGCTTTGAGAGAGGACCGGCACTGACCCTTGGCACTGGACTGTCGGCACCGGTCCCCGGCACCAGATCCATGACACCAGATTCCTGGTTTCGGTCCCCAGCCCGAGCGTCTCGACACCGGTCCCCTGCATCATCAACTCGGCACAGGTCCCTGGCGCAGTACCATGCAGTGCCACTGTGGTCATCTCAGTCAAGATCTTCGGACTCGTGTGGTGACTCGTACTATTCCCGTCACAGCAGGCACAGATCCGACAAGCGATGGAGGGAGGCACCAATGGCACGGCAACCCCAGTGGCAGCCTCTGGTGCAATGGCCTTTTTGGACTCCCTGGGCTCCTGTTCGGTGGCCTCGGAGCACCGACTACCCAGACAGCCAAGGACCGGCCTACGCCCCGGGGATCTGAGGCGACCTTGGCGCAAGCCCCACAGCCGGCTCAAGTCGCCACCGAGGCAACTCTGAGGCATGACTCATTGCAAGGCCAGGCTACTGTCACCTCGGCTATGGTCGCCATAGAGGCCCCAGACGCTGAACAGGAGGAGATCAGGGAGCCAGAGGGTCAGGAGGACCCCGTCAACCTCTCGCCTCATCTTTGTCCCCGGACGAAGCGGTGGTGGGAACTTCAACCTCGGGCCCTCCCCTAGTTGACCATAGGGCCCACCAGGACTTTCTATGAAGGATTGCCCGTAAGATGGGGTTACAGGTGGAGGAGGTGGTCGAACCCAAAGACCCCATGGTCGACATCCTTGCTCCAGAGGGACCGTCCAGGGTAGCTCTGCCACGGATAAAAACGATCCAGAGCAATATTAAGACTCTGTGGTAGACCCCTGCCTCAATCCCGCCCACCGCCAGGGGGATAGAGCATAAGTAATTTGTTCCCTCCAAGGGGTAGGAGTACCTGTTCTCTCACCTGCAACCATGCTCCCTCATAGTATCGGCAGTGAATGAGAAAGAGAGATGGGGGCAGCAAGGGCTGGCCCCTAAATCCAAGGAGTCTAAAAGGATGGACCTTTTTGGCAGGAAAATCTGTACAACTCTTGGGCCTCCATGTTGAAGTTTAAGTCGCTGATTCCACCAGACTCCAGAGCCAAGTTCTCGACTATCATTGATGAAGGGAAGGCAGTGGCGTGAACCTCCCTCCAGGCTTCATTGGACTCAGCGGACTCGGCTTCCCGCACCCTTTCCTCAGGAGTAGCCATGAGGAGGAGCGCAAGGCTACAGGTGTCTGGGTTGCTCCCGGAGCTGCAGCAAACCCTGCAGGACCTACCATTCAAAGGCACAGGGTTGTTTTCGGAGCAAACAGACTCCAAGCTGCACAGTCTAAAAGACTCACGGGCGACTATGAAGTCATTGGGTATGCACACCCTGGCAATCCTGTTGTATGCCTTTCCCCCGATCCCTCTTGTGCACAAAGCACTTCTCAAGTTCCGCAGGGACAGAGCAGAGGTAATTCTGGTGGCCCAGCATGGCCCTGACAACACTGGTACACCACGCTCCTGGAGCTGTCAGTGGACACTCCGATCGAGTTACCACTGCATTCCGATCTGATCACTCAGGACCACGGTTGCCTTCACCACCTGGATCTCCAGTCCCTCCATCTCATGGCCTGGAAGCTTCATGGTTTAACCCCATGGAGTTTCTGTTTTCAGAATCAGTAAGGGAGATCCTACTTGGCAGTAGGAAACTATCTACTAGGGCCACATATCTAGCTAAGTGGAAAGGTTTCACTTGCTGGTGTGCCCAGCAGCGTACACCTCCACTACTGGCATCTGTATTACTCATTCTAGAGTACCTTCTGTACCTGAAACAACAACCACTGGCAGCAGCATCCATCAAAGTACATCTCGCTGCTATCTCCGCTTTCCACCCAGGAGCATCCGGCCGATCCGTATTTGCTAACCCCATGGTAGGCTGTTTCCTCAAGGGTTGGGATGCCTACATCCTCAGATCAGACAGCCTGTCCCAGCGTGGGACCTCAGTCTTGTCCTCTCCAAATTAATGGGGCCCCCTTTTGAGTCAATAGCGACTTGCTCCTTTCTCTATCGTGAAAGGTGGCCTTCCTGGTGGCCATCACATCAGCTAGGAGGGTGTCAGAGCTAAAGGCCCTTACTTCCGTTCCACCCTACACGGTCTTCCACAAGGATAAGGTGCAACTCAGGCCTCACCCAGTCTTTCTTCCCAAGGTAGTGTCACTCTTTCATACTAGCCAAGACATTTTCCTACCTGTCTTCTATCCTAAGCCTCATGCCAGTAATCAAGAGCAGAGGCTACACTCATTGGATGTTCGGCGAGTGTTAGCATTCTACATCGAGTGCACTAAGCCGTTCAGGAAGTCGAACCAGCTGTTCATGGCGGTAGCAGACCGGATTAAAGGACTCCCGGTCTCATCTCAAAGAATATCTTCCTGGATCACGTCCTGCATCCGCATGTGCTAGGAGCTGGCCAAGGGCCCAGCCCTGGCTCTTACGGCACGCTCCACGAGGACACGGGCCTCGTCAGCGGCGTTCCTGGCCCAGGTCCCAATACAAGAAATGTGCAGGGCAGCAACGTGGTCCTCGGTGCACACATTTACCTCTCACTTTGCTATCACCCAACATGCCAGAGATGATGCAGCATTCGGCAGAGCGGTGCTCCAATCAGCGATTCCTTAACTCCGACCCCACCTCCGGGGTAGAGCTTGGGAGTCACCTGATTGGAATCGACAAGCACTCGAAGCACTCGAAGAAGAAAAAACAGTTACTCACCTTCTCGTAACTGTTCTTCGAGATGTGTTGTTCACGTCCATTCCAATATCCACTCTCCTTCCCCACTGTCGCAGTAGTCGGCAAGAAGGAACTGAGGAGGCATCGGGTCGGCAGGGTCATATATTGAGCGCCCCTCTCCATGGATCACCACCTTGTAGTGGTGGAGAGGCTTGCGCGTCTCAATGATCCCAAGAGCGATGCTGCCTGGAGTCATGTACTCCCTTAGAGTCACCCATGGCAGAATGGTCAAGGGTGAGGTTCCAGACAAAGTGTGATCCAAGAAGTCACTAACAGCAGAGCAGACGGAAGATAACTGCACAATGGAGGTGAAACTGTTGTGTAATGTTACAATGGCTGTGAAGGTGGATGAAGGCTGCAGCAGATAGAGGATCTCCAATCGTCATGGTGTCCATGCCATTGGTTTCAAGTCCTCTATCTGTCAAGGATAGTGTGGTGACTGTTGTGCACCAGTCTCCCCACTTTAAAAGAAGTCCCACACAGGCATCTTCCAGTTTTTGGGAAAATAACATTTGCATAAATCTAAAGTCCGGTGGCAATCGGCGACGGAAACAGGACAGTCAAATCCAGAAGTTCCTAGTCACAGACTGACACACAGGCAGTGAGTGTGTGGTACAGTCGTCTTGCTCGAGGATTGAGGCGGGTCGAGCATCTCAGCAGCTGCACCCGCAACTGAGCAGTCCTTTTTAGGATCCACTCTGCTTACCCCGCATGGGGAGGGGTTAGAAAAAGTACCCTAAAAATAGTCTTGCCTCTGTTTTTCCTGGCTGGATAGCCACATCCAGCAGGATCACCACCTCAGTGGTCGAAAATGTAAGAAACTTTTCAACTTTGGAACTTGAAATGTACGTACCCTGATGGACAACTCAAACAGCGACTGACCAGAGCGATATACGGCCATTATTACTCGTGAATTGAGTCGGTTTAGCATCGATATTGCTGCTTTGTCTGAAACTAGAAGAGCTGATGAAGGACAGGTGAGGGAGGAGAAAGGAGGATACACCTCCTTCTGGAAGGGAAAATCTATAGATGAACCCTGAAATAATGGAGTGGGCTTTGCTATAAAGAACAAGCTCGTAAGGTGCCTCTCTGAGGTACCAGTTGGCATCAATGAGCGGTTTATGACACTCCGATTGAGGCTCACCACAAATCAACAGACAACTATTGTGAGTGCCTATGCACCAAAACTGGATGCCGATGAGAATGTAAAGGAAGATTTTTATTCTCAGTTGGAAATCATTTTATCTGAGACCCCTACAGAAGACAAGATCATCCCTCTGGGGGATTTCAGTGCACATGTTGGACGAGACTCAGACCTGTGGAAGGGAACAATCGGGAAAGAAGGAGTTGGCAAAAGCAATTCAAATGGAATTCTGCTCCTGACCAAGTGTGCTGAACATGAACTTATTATGAACACTCTTTTCCGACAAAAGGAAAAGTTCAAAACATCTTGGAGATACCCACAGTCAAAGCCCTGGCATCTCCTTGACTACGTCCTAGTTCGTGCCCAAGATCGTAGTGACGTACTTGTCACAAGAGCAATGACAAGTGCTGATGACTGTTGGACTGATCATCGCCTTATTCGATCCACAATGAAAATTAAGATCGCTCCCAAATGGAGGCTGCAAAAGAAGCAGGTCAGGCGCAAGCTGAAGGTTCAAGATTTGAAGGACCCTATTAAGCGTGACCACTTCCAAGTAGTCTTAGAAGAAAAAGTCCCATCAGAGTTTCCGGGAGAAACTGAGGAACATTGGAGCCAGTTGAAAGCAGTAATCATCAGTGCCTGTGAAGAAACCATAGGCTACCAAACCAGAAAACATCAGGACTGGTTTGACGAGAATGATGTCGAAATTGAGCAACTCATCGATGAGAAGAGAATGGCATTTTGTGCTTGGCAGAACGACATACATTGTAATATAAAGAGAGAAGCCCATGCCAAGGCGAGGGCAGAAGTCCAATGTAAAACCAGAGAACTTAAGAACAAATGGTGGACTGAGAAAGCGCAAGAACTCCAACATCTCGCAGACATCCACAATACATGTGGTTTCTTTAGTCACCAAGGCTGTTTATGGGCCAATTTGTCAGGGTCTGAATCCTCTTCGCTCTAAGGATGGAACCCACATGTCTGAAGGACAATGAAGCCATCAATTCTCGCTGGAAAGAACATTTTGAAGATCTCCCTAACCGTAATTCTATGGTTGCAGATGAAGTCCTTGAGCAAATCCCCCAATGACCATTTAGGGATGAGCTCGGAGACCCTCCCAATTTGTATGAGGTACACAATGCCATCAAGCAGATGAAGAACAACAAGGCAGCAAGTCTTGATGGGCTCCCCGCTGAAATCTTTAAAAACGGTAGACCAGAGTTAATTCGGCAGCTTTACCTGCTTATCCTTAAAATCTGGATAAAGGAGGAGATAGGGGATAAAGTAGATTGTGGAAATTATTGTGGTATCTCCCTCCTAGCCATTGCAGGCAAAGTTCTGGCGCGGATCCTTACAACCCGCCTTCTGCCCCTTTTAGAAGAAATTTTACCGGAGTCACAGAATGGTTTCTGACCATGTCGTGGAACTGCGGATATGATCTTCACAGCACAGCAGCTGCAAGAAAAGTGTCGGGAGCAAAACCGACGACTGTACATGGCTTTTATTGATCTAACTAAAGCCTTTGATTCAGTGAATCGCTGTGCCTTCTGGACTGTACTTTCTAAGATTGGATGTCCTGATAAATACATCAATGTCCTAAAATTGCTTCATGATAACATGAAAGCGACTGTTCTGAGGAGCACTGGCTCCCAGAGTGAACCTTTCAAAGTACAAACAGGAATCAAACAGGGTTGTATCATCGCCCCACCCATGTTTGTGGTTTTTATTGCCATCATTCTTTACCTAATTGCTGGGAAGTTGACAGCTGGCATTGAAATCAATCACAGAACGGACGGAAAGCTGTTCAGGCTTAGCAGGCTGAAAGCCAAGAGTAAGATTTCCACAACATCTATTGTGGAACTTCAGTATGCTGATGACATCGCAATCTTTGCCCACTCTGAGAAAGATCTTCAAACTATCTTGAATGTGTTTGCTGATCCTTACGCATGTTTTGGTTTCACTCTTATTGATATTAAGACTAAAGTGCTCTATCAGCCCTCTCCAAAGGAGGTGTTACATGCCCCAACTATCAAAATCACTGGAGTGGCACTGGAGAATGTCGATCATTTCCTCTACCTTGGAAGTCATCTTTCATCCAAGGCAGGTATTGATGCAGAAATTCAACATCGCCTGAGCTGTGTCAGTGTAGCTTTTTCTCCTTTAAAGCACAGGGTTTTTGAAGATCAGGACATTGGAACAGACACCAAGCTTCTTGTTTACCAAGCTGTTATTCTCCCAACACTGTTGTATGGGTCCGAAACTTGGACAACCTATAGACACCACTTGAAAGTCCTTGAGAGGCACCATCAATGCTGCCTTTGTAAGATTCTGAAGATCAAATGGGAAGACAGGTGCACCAATATTAGTGTTCTGGAAGAGGCAAAGACCACCAGTATCGAGGCAATGATCATCCATCAGCAATTCCGCTGGACTGGTCATGTTGTCCAGCTGCCAGACCATCGCCTCCCAAAACAGGTCCTGTTCCCTCAGCTGAAAGAAGGGCACCGTAACATGGGTGGACAATGGAAGTGTCATAAGGACTTGCTGAAGGACAACCTAAAAAAATGTCATATTGACATTGATACTTGGGAGACACTTGCCCAGGATCGCTTAAAATGGAGTGAAGTCCTACGTGATGGTCCCCTGCATTTTGAACTTGCTCGCCGACAAACCGAAGAGGACAAGAGGCACGGGAAGAAGGAGAGGCTGGCTCCCAGTCATGGTTAACAGCCTCCTGCTGAGCCTGAAAACATCTGCCCTCATTGTAATAGAACTTGTGGTTCAAGGATTGGCCTTATCAGCCACCTGAGGACCCATAACTCCCGTGGACGATGATCATACTCGGTAACGAGTGATCGCCCATCATCGTCATCGTATTGAGCGCCATGAAGGCGCCACTCCAGGGGGCTCCACAGCTGACTCGACGGGAGCTGCTAAGGGAAAATTTTCCAAAGACTGTGCACGCAGTGCGCGCACACCTGATTGGAATGGACGTGAGCAACACACCTCGAAAAACAACAGTTACGAGAAGGTGAGTAACTGTTTTTTCCCCTGATTGACAGCAGCTACATCCATGGAAGCTGCCTTGCCATAGTGGTGTCTGTGCTGGGGGCTTTGTCAGCAGAGCTACACTGGTCTGTGGTTTCTTCACCCCACTCCCCGCCGACCAGCGTTGCTGCGTTGATCCAGCTTTTCAGTGGCGATCCAGCCGGCCCCAAACACCAAGAGGGTGGGGGTGGCGGCGTGGATGAACCTGAGATGAAGAGAACACTCTTCCCTTTGACAAGGGTAAGAGCTAAGCCTGTCTCCTTGCCAGCAGCCCTCCACACAGCTGCTCACTACGAGGCCCTCCCTGCATGAAGGAGCAGAGCCCATCCACGTCCATCAGATGGCCCCGTCTCGAGAGAGAGCCTATGTACTAAGAGGGGATGTCTGCTAGTGTGGCTTGGCCAGGCCCTGGCTGGAGAACTGGGGGAGAGGGGGACATGCCTCTCTGCTCTGCTGCCTCAGAGTCTCTTGCTAGTCTCAGACCTCCCCTCCCCTCTCCTGGGGGTTCTTAGGAGGGCAGTGCAGAATGGGAGCCGGGAGACAGCAGAGGGGGACACTGGCGGGGGGGGAGGGGGAGGGACAGCAGACTCTCAGAGACTCTCTGAGCCCCCTGCAGGCCACCCAAGATGGCCCCCATCCTTAGGACACTTGCCCTGTCCCCACCCCACACTGGTGCAAGGCATGTGCCCCCCATCCCCCGATTGCATAGGATCTACAGTCCCTCATGAACCCACCCCTTGGAGCTCCCTGGGGTTGGGCACATCCCGGTGAAGCTCTCTGTAGGCTAGCTCCCAGCTGTGGCTTGCTAAGGGCATGGGTGGGGGGGTGAAGGAATGGGTGGATACCCCTGTCAGAGCAGGCCTGCCACAGCTCCCAGGCACTGGTGGCTGTGTCCCTGGGCTCAAACCCTCTGCCCCCGCTGTTTGTCTGCTCCCAGAAGAGCATCTATGGGCGAGTAAGCTGTGTCACCAGCACAGCCCTGGGCCTGAGCGCCTATGGAAGGCCCGGCAGCCCCAGCCCTTGCTTATCACCACGCTGACCCCGCCACAGCCCCAGAGACCCGTCGGCACGTCGCCCATCAGAGAGCACCCCCTGCCCTTCCATGTCCAGCTGGACGGAGAGCCCCACGGCAGCCGGCATGCAGGTGAGGGCAGGGAATGGGCTGGCGCCGCGGGGGGCGGGGGGGGGGGAGTGCCCTCCTGCAGAGGGACGGCGCACTCAGGGCAAAGGAACAGGCCAGGCACCTGCCATGGTCCACAGTCGCCCCCCTGTCCACCATCCCAGAGCTTGGCAGAGCTGGGCTGTTCCTGGGAAATTCCTCCCCCCCCCCCCCCCCCCCCCCCCCGCCCTGGCGGAGGGGGGCTGTTCCGGGGAAATCCCCCCCCCCCCCGAGCCCCCAATGCCTGGCAGAAGTGGGCTGTTCCTGGGAAATTTCCACACCCCGTCACCCCCAGTGCCTGGCAGAGTTGGACTGTTCCGGGGAAATTCCTTCCTCCCCTCAGTGCCTGACAGAGCTGGGCTGTTCCTGGGAAATTCCTACACCTCCTCACCCCCAATGCCTGGCTGGCAGAGCCGGGCTGTTCCTGGGAAATTCCTCCCCCCACCCCCACCCCCAGAGCCTGGTAGAGCTGGGCTGTTCCAGGGAAATTCCTTCCTCCCCTCAGTGCCTGGCAGAGCTGGGCTGTTCTATGGAAATCCCATACCCCCCACCATGAGGATGGTGGTATTCGGGCCCTGTTCATAGGTGCTGGAACAAGGGATGCTGGGGGTGTGTCCGCACCCCTGGTTTGAAGTGGTTTCCATCATACATAGGGTTTAGATTTTGGTTTAATGGCTCTCAGCCCCCCAATTATACAAATTGTCCCAGCACCCCTGGCTCCATCCCTGCTGCAAGGTAAACACGGTGACCTCACCCCCATGGGATCCACCTGGGTCCCACTATGGGTAGCCAGTGGGTGCGAAGTGTGCAAGAGGAGTCTCTCTCCCGTCAGGGAGGGAGCTGATGATCTGTGGTGGGGCAAGGGAGAGGAATCTCTCCAGTCATGACTGTACCCTGGAGGGGCATGGGGGTCACCTCTCCCCTCCCCCACATCATGGCCCTTCAGGCCCTGCTCCCGTGGAGCCGCCCCGAGAGCCGGAGCAGGTGTTGCTGGATCCTGTTGCTTCTTAGTGCTCTGAACTTTGCCTCTCATCCGTCCCTAGGCAGCTCAACGTTGGCGCAGTCTGCATCCACGGTTGGAACCAGCCCATGCAGGTACCGTGCTGGGGCCCTCGCCCAGCCAGGGCTCCCTACTCTGGCGGGGTAGGTGTGCAGAATGGAGGGGAGGGGGTACCTGAGGCGGAGCCCAGCCGCTGACCTGAGGGGGTCTGACTGCTCAGCACACCCAGTGGCCCCACTACTGCCCCCAGCTTCCCCAGCCCTAGAGCGCACCCCTGCCTGCTTCACTCTGCAGGGACCCAGCTCCAGTGGGGCTCCTTCGGCTCCGCAGCAGAGCAGTCAGTGACCAGGGAATGGGACACTCTGAGCCTTCGACTGGCATGGAGGCTCCATAAAGAAACAGCCCAGGGGTCTATGTGGGCATACATGCCTCTGAGTGCAAAGAGGGGAGGGGTGGGTAAATGGCAGGGTCGAGGGGTCAGTCCAGCCAGAGATCCTTCAGGAACCGGAAATCCAGGCCGAGCAAAGCCAGCGAACCTCAGCCAGCGACATGCAAAGTGGAACTTAGCTCAGGACAGAAAAGCTCCCAAGAGGCAGTTCTTCTTTGAGTGGCTACAGACGTGTTTCCACTCAGGTGCGTGAGTACCCAGCACACCAAAGCTGAAGAACTTTGTGTAGCACTACCTGCTGGGGCGGCACATGCACCCTATCCCTCCTCAGGCCCCGCCTGAGGCTATAGAAGGGCAGTCATCCCCCCCACTCAGTTCCTTCTCGCCACCCACAGCCTGACTGGCAGTTCCTCATGGTTATTGCACTACAGTGAGATCATCCTCTGTGCTTTGTAAATAGTTTTAGCCCCGTTAGCTAGCTAGTTAAGGTTAGTAGTTCCATGAGTGGTTGGTTAGTTAGTAAGCCTGGCGCTATGCCTTCACCGAATTTTAAGCACCGTCCTTCACGTGGCTGTCCCATCTAGTGACCACCACATTCGATGCTCGTTGTGCCTGGTAGAGGGGCACAGGAAAGAAAAGTGTTGGTTGCCGGAGACCTTCGCCTGAAGTAACACCTCAAGGAGCAGCTCCAGGAGGATCTGGGAGCTTGCACAGCTCACCCGGCCCCACAAACTACGTCAGAGCTAGCGCCAATTTCTGATAGACAGCCACACTCAGGTTCTTCTCCACAGGGAAGGGACCATTCTCCTGTCTGTGGTCCTCAAGGAAGAGAGCTCACAAAACTAGTCATAGCCATTCCGGGGTTCAGAGAGACTCTTCCTTCTCTTCTAGGAGGAGTGCGGGGCATTAGCAAGACTCCTTGAGTGTCCAAAATAGAGCAGGACAAGGACCATCTACCCACTCCCCAGTACTGAGAAGCAAACTGACCAGTACCAGACCATCAATTCCGCAGGATGTCTATTGAGTTCGGTGCCAGCACATTGGCACTTTTCAGGCAGCAGCTGCTTTACTCTGCCTCTCTGTCCCAGATTCACCTCTGATACAGGAGTCCTCAGCTGAGGGGATGCCCCCTGCAGTCCTGGGCCAGTGTGGGTTGGTTGCTTTGGACTATGAACAGTTACTGGCTTCTCCCTTGTTACCAGTTAAGAAGCCCACCAAAGAGGTGGATCCGGTCCCATCATCAGCACCAAGACATCTTGCTTGGGTACCGATACCGTTTTTGGCTCCGATGATAGCTCTAGTCCCAGTCTCCACATCTTCAGTAACGAGCCATTCTTCAGCTAGGGTACTGACCTCCGCACAGGACTGACAGCCTTTCCAGTACTGCATTTTAGTGCAGCCTCAACTTCCCAAGCAGTCCACATGGCACTGACTACTGTACCATCCTTGGTACCGGTCCAGTCCCCTTACTGGACCTCAAACAGATCGGGGTACTTGGTGGGCCTCTCAGGTTTAGCTCATCTGTTGACTATTTGGGGGGTTCCTTGCAATCAGGCTCAGAATCCTTCTCTCTCTCTTCCATCTCCTTCCTCCAGAAGATCAGCAGCAATACCAAGAGAACACCGTTCCCTCAGCAGGGACACGAGTTCTTGGCCTGGTACATACTGGCTTCCTGTACCACATTAATTTCCTCTCTGGCCTTGGAGTGCCCACCGCTCTTCAAGATCTCAATCATCAGCTCCCTACAGAGCCAGGACGTGGAATCCTTCTGTTGTCTCATTTCCTGGCCCACCGAGACTGGAGACACAAACTGATACGGCTCCAACTGAGACTACTATAGCAGAGTGGCCCTTTATCATGGGGACAAGCCTTACCATAGCGGAGTCCATCTGTTCCACTTCCTGTCATCCTCCTCACCAGACGATTCCACCAGAATACTTTAAGTCTCACCAAAACTCCTTAAGGAGGATGACTACAGCCTTGGGCATCCAAGAGAACACCAATAAATTGGTGGATATTCTTCAGCCCCAGTGAGGGCAGCCCTCCCTATAAGTGATGCTGTTTCGGAGCCCGCAAAGTCCTTGTGGCACACGCCAGCTTCCTTACCTCCCACAGCAAAGCACACAGACAAGCGGTACTATGCCCCCAAGCAAAGATTTGAATGTTTCTACTCTCGTCCGGCCCCAAACTCCTGTGTGGTAACTGCTGCAAATGAGAGGCTGCGACGGGGGGGGGGTGGGGTGTGCTCTAATGGGTGAAATCTGGGGGAGTCCTGCCTGAGGCAGCCCTGGGTTAGGTAGGGAGCCTTCTCCCTGGGGAGCTTTCTGGGAAGGGGGGCTGAGTTCTACTGCTGTGACTGATGGCTCCGATCTGCCTCCTACCTCTGCAGCCCACAGTGGGATTGGGGGGGGCGGGGGGCTCGTTCCTGGGATCAGAGATGCCCCCTGATGCACCAGTGTAACGGGGGAGTGGGGAGGCAGCGTTCAGTGGCATGAGCACAGAACAGCTCATTACACTTCCCCACAGAGCCATGTTTCCGGGGGATAGGGTCGGCCTGGTCTGAGGCACTTCCCCTCTGAGCCTCAGCTTCCTGCTCCAGGGGGTGCTCACTCTCTGCTATCTCCAGAGGGATGGGGCTCTCCCCACAGGAGCCCCTTCCCTCCAGCTCAGCGGCATTGCCAGATAACAACTGGACAGGGCTGGGAAGGGCCAGAGCCTGGCCTGTGACACCACAGGGTCTTCCTGGGAGCGGGGGGGGGGGGGGGAGTGTTGGGGGGACATTGGCCATGGGGGCTGTGGGAAGAGCGAGCACACAGGGGAGGGGACAGGATGGAGAGATAGCGACCCAGGGTGGCAAGGGAATGGGGCAGGAATGGGCAGAGCCCTGGAGTTGTCTGGGAAATGGGGGCAGGGGATGGGGTGGCAAGGGAGCTTGTGGGAGGCCTGAGGGAATGGGGACAGCACTCCTTGGAGGGAAGGAAGTAGGGGCATGATGGAGCTGGGGAGAGGCCCAGGGTGAGCACCCAGAGGGGAGGGGGCACAAGGGACTGGAGAGAGAGCAGCTTACGGGGAAAGGAGAAAGGGGCTTGAAGGTAAGAGGTTGCTGGGGTGGGACGGAGGTGGGGGATATGGCGGAGAGGATGGGCTCAGACCCAGCAGCCAGGTAGCCCCAAGGCCTGAGCGAGACCGGCCATGTCTGTCCCTTAGGTCTGTGTGGTGGGGCCCCGAGCAGCCCGCTGTGACTCTACTGCTGAGCAGAAACCTCTTCCCGAGACCCCAGCTCCCTGGCCGGAGAGCGCCCGTTGGACCCCACACGCTGACGCGGAGCCAATCGCAGCACCTTCTGCCTCCCAGACAAGTGACATGGAGCCTGCTGGACTTCCAGCCCCCCCGCACGGAGCCAGAGAGACGCAAGAGCCCCTCCCGGCCCCAGTAAGGGGCTGCAGGGCTGGGGCTCTCCCTGCCAGAGCCCCCTCCCTCCTGCTCGGCTGCATTGGCAGGCTCATTAAAGGGCTTTGGAACAGACATCCGGGCTCCCTCCCTGAAAGGGGCTGTGAAGAGCGGTGGGGGGCAGGACCCCTCTGATGACTGGCTCCGAGAGCTGCCGGCGGCGGGCAGGGGAGCCCACAGGCTGCTCAGGGCTCTAGGGGGTGGGATGGCTGTTCAGAGTGCAGGCCGACTGCGCCATGAGCCGGGCTCGGGCTGCTTCATTCTGCAGAGGCAGTGAAGGGATCGAACGTGCTTCCATGCGGTCAATGCCTGGGGTGCGGGGGTCTGGGCCCCCCAAGGAAGGAGAAGGCTTCCAGGCCCTGCCCCTCCCCTCGAGCAGCTGGAGACACGTGGGAGCCAGACAGTCCCATTAGCCCAGGCATGAGGGGGAGGGGGTGGGGGGCAGGCAACTGGGACGCTGAAGTGGAAGCAGCCACCTCAGGCACAGCAGCCAGGGGATCCCCCAGCTCCCCCTGTGTCAGTCTCCACCCCCACTCAGCAGGGGAGCCAGCCCCCCCCCCCCAATGCCACACTGCTGATCCAGCCAGCACCCCACCACTCTGCCCCCCCCACCAGGTCTACAGGGGAGCCAGCCCCCCATGTCACTCTGTCCCCCACTAGGTTTGCCAACTTTCTAATTGCACAAAACCAAACACCCTTGCCCCACCCCCTTCACTGAGGTCCCACCCCTGCTCTGAGGCTCCGCCCCCTGGCTCTCTCCCCCCCTCACTGGACTGGGGCAGGGGGCTGGGGTGCAGGAGGGGATGAGGGCCCGGCTGGGGGTGCAGACTCTGGAGTGGGGCCAGAGATGAGGGGTTCAGGAGGGGGCTGTGATGGGTTGAGATCACAGAGACCTCTTGGGCACTGCCAACTGATGTGCTGAGATTACCTCTGCCTCTGCTTTCCCTGCCAGCTTGGGACTTCAGAACCCTGCCTGGTTGTGCCAGACATGCTTGCCTGCTACAACACAGACCCAAGTCTGAGCAACGTCCCACAAACCGCAAGCTTAACTGAAAACAGCTTAAGTGTTTCTGTCTCCAACACTCAGACGCCCAGCTCCCAATGGGGTCCAACCCCTAAATAAATCCGTTTTTAACCCTGTATAAAGCTTATACAGGGTAAATTCAAATTGTTCACCCTCTATAACACTGATAGAGAGATATGCACAGCTGTTTGCCCCCCGGTATTAATACATACTCTGGGTTAATTAATAATTAAAAATGTGATTTTATTAAATATAAAAAGTAGGATTTAAGTGGTTCCAAGTAATAACAGACAGAACAAAGTGAATTACCAAAGAAAAAAAATAAAAAAAAATGCAAGCCTCTGCCTAATACAGTAAGAAAGTGATTACAGATGAAATCTCACCTTCAGAGATGTTCCAATAAGCTTCTTTCACAGACTGAATGCCTTCCTAGTCTGGGCCCAATCCTTTCCCCGGTACAGCCCTTGTTTTAGCTTAGGTGGTAGCTAGGGGATTTCTCATGACTGCAGCCCCCTTTGTTCTGTTCCACTCCCTTGATATATCTCTTGCACAAGGCTGGAATCCTTTGTCCCTCTCTGGGTTCCCACCCCTCCTTCTCAATGGAAAAGCACCAGGTTAAAGATGGATTCCAGTTCAGGTGACATGATCAAATGTCACTATAAGACTCCAAGCCCTTATTCCTCCCATCCTGACTCACAGGAAGGCCTACAAGCAAACAGAGCCATCCACAGTCATTGTCCTGGTTGATAGGAGCCATCAAGATTCCAAACCACTATTAATGGCCCACACTTTGCATAACTACAATAGGACCTCAGAGTTATATTTCACATTTCTAGTTTCAGATACAAGAGTGATACATACTACAAATAGGATGACCACACTCAGTAGATTATAAGCTTTGTAATGATACCTTACAAGAGACCTTTTGCATGAAGCATATTCCGGTTACATTATATTCACACTCATTAGCATATTTTCATAAAATCATATAGAGTGCAACATCACAGGAGCTCAATAAACCCCTCCTGTTTTACACTGGCTGAGTCGCTCCGATCTAGAGAAGATCTGCATTATTCCCTCTGGAAGTGGAGGCCCCGAGGGTCCACAGTGAGTGGAATCCCTGAGGGGGCCCACGGCAGAGACAGGTGTGCTAAGGCTCAGAAAGGTGTGGTTCCAGGAGGTGGAGGGGCTTAACCCCTGAAAGAGAGAGTGGACCCCCAAGAAGGGCTGTGGCGCTGAAAGGGGTTCCCCCTACGGACCGCACGGAGCCAGGAGAGAGCACGAATCCCGTGAGTCCATGACGACGTGGTAGCAGAGGATGGTTGGTGGATGCACCCTGTCGACAGTTGGCTGCGAGCGCAGGCACTTTGCAGTGAGCGGTTGCCAGCGATAGAACAAGGCAAATGAAGGAACCAGCAAGGAAAGGGCCTATAAGCAACTCCGTAAGAGGGACCTGGCACAGCTGTGCAGGGAGAGAGGACTGAGCATCGGGAGGCTCACCCAGCAGCTGCTGATTGCCTGGCTGGTAGAGAGTGACCAATCATAGGAGCCAGTTCCAGATCCCAGCGGGCTTCCGGGATGCCCAGAGAGGCTGGGAGTAGCGGGGGCAGTTGGGGTAGTGGCAGGGGGTCCACCGGACCCGTTC